GGACAGACCACAGGGAGTGTGAGGGATTGTCGCCTCCCTTGGAGTACTCAGTCCCCGGGTTCTTAGTTCTCTTTATACCTGCTGCTATTTCCACATCTTCTGTGGTAGCCTTTTAGTAAGCCTTCCACAGGGTCAGGCACACGGACTCTTCACATCCTCTTTCTGGGCTCGCCTTCCTGGAGGTCTCTGTTCCTCCCATGTTCTCAGCTGGCTGTTCTCATGCCTTCCCTGCAGTGTTGCCCTGGTCGTTCCTTGCACTCGCCCTTCGGCTTCTCTTCAGGGTTGGATTTTGTGTTTGGGGTGCCCCTTGTCTTCGTCTTCCTTGATTGACTTCTTTGTCTTGGTCTAGCACCGTGTCCAGAGGTGAATCACTTGAGAAGGATGACTGGGGTCTTGGGCAGGGCCAGGCCGCCTCCCACGGTCCCTCTTCCTGAGCCTCTCTGCTCCGACTGTCCTCTGCTGGCCCACAGCTCCTGTTCTGGAAGCTCCCTCCACTGTCACGTCCTTGTTGAGGCTCGTGTTCTCCCGTGACTGCCTCCTACTTCTCCTTCGTTACGCTTGCACTTCGGTGGAGGGCCTTCTCCAGTGGCCTCCTGTGGTAGGACGCTTGGGGCAGAGGTTAGGGAGTAAGTGTGATTGAGGGGGGTGATTACTGTGTGGCTGGTGTGGGGTTCTGTTGGCATCGCTTTGATCCATTGCTTCCTGTGCTCCGTGTTACTGGTTTTCAGTTCAGAAGCTTATTCTAATTTCTTATTCAGTGTAGCTTTTTCCCCTCCCATCTTTAGAAGCTTGTAGGAATTTAAAAATTTGTCCAGCTCTTTTAAAATGTCATGAAGTGTGGGTTTCTTTTCATCTACTGTTCTGCTTATTCATTGGGGACCTTCATTCTGGTAACTTTCATTCCTCAGTTCTGGGAAAATGTTTTCAAGTGATTGTGCTGGTGTTTTTCTCCCTTCTGTTTCCTTGTTCTTTTTTTCTGGAAGTCTTGTTATCCACGAAAGTGTCTTGGCTGTCGTAATTTTCTTATTCTTTCTCTCCAGTATACTTCTGTCCTACCGTCCTTCCCTTTCTTCCTTCATTTTTTATCCTGCTTTCAGGGAGATGTCTTGAATTTAACTTAACCTTCTTTTTAGTTTTTACTTCTATGTTCAGGTTCTTTAATATTCAGGAGCATCCTATTTTTGTTTATTGATTGCAGCATCTTCTTATCTCTAGGTTTTTGATTGTAGAGTTTCTGTTTCAAGTTATTTCCTTTATCTCCCAACTCTCCAGAATCCCTTCCTTCTGTCTGACATGGGGTGTGCCTTTTGACTTTTACATCAGGGTGTTATGGGTGGACAGTTTGTTGGGGGATCCCCAGTGTATTTTCAGGTCTTTCTTCTTGGGTTGATTATATTCTCCAAGAATATTCTCTAGTTTCTTTCGTGTAGAATTCTGACTATAGACATCTGGGGGCTGAGTGGGTGAGTGGGTGAGGGGTGGGGAGCGCAAGGACCCTCTGTTGAGTTTTGTACAGTGATGAAGTCCGCCTGTGTGTAGTCCCGCTGGGCAGGGGGTCTTCAGCCCAGAGCCACTCTGCTTTTTCTGGGAGTGGCCATCAGGGATGGGGCAGCACTCGGACGCCTGGGGCTGAGGTTCTGGCTGCAGCTTGAGCGGACTTGCTGCCCCCCTGTCGACAGGCCCCATCCTGCCTGCACTGGTGCTGCCTGTTCTGAGCCTTCCGGGATACCCCTGTGGAAGTGGAATCGGGTCTTAGTTTTTCCACTGCTGGCTTAGGACCTGGGTTTCTTGGCCTGCTGAGTCAGTTAATATGCTTCCAATCTTTCATAGTTTCTGTTTCCTCCAAGTTTTTTTTTCCCCTTTTTAAAAAATTTGTTTTGGTCTTTATCTTCCGTATGAGAAATTTTTCTCACAGGTTCTAGAATTCTTTTTCCCCTGTCAGTTCTGCCTGAGCTGTGTTTTGTTTTTCAATTTTTTTTTAATATCTCTCCAGTATAATTTTAGTGGGAGAGGGTGAAGTAGATGTATATATTGTTGGTGATCTTTCCCTTAGCTTACTAGCTAACTCTGTGTCATATTAATGTATGCTTGTTGATATGTTTTAGTAGTCTCCAGGTTTTCACATGTATTTTCTTGACCGAAATGTAGGTTTGAAGACGGGGACTTGATGGCATGTTTTTACCCCCATCCCAGGTCTGGCACTGCCTGTGTGGTCGGTAATGAGACTGACTCTGAGAGGAGTGAACACAGTGGCTCTTTTGAAAAAGTGGTGGAGAGGTGGTTTTATAAATGCATGTTGTCTTTCCTTGTCAGGTTCTCTGTGACTGCTATGGAAAGAAGAAGGAGAAAGGAGGAGTGTTTGTAAATCTTCGCGTGACTTCCTCACGGGATCTCGGTGGCCTTCTGAACTGTGAGTCCGATTCTCTTGCCACACTTGTGGCTTGGCGTTTTGTTTGTTTTGATTTTTCTTGCCCCTGTCATAGGGTTTCTTTGACACACAGTGGAAACAAACAAGAGGTAGTGAATTTTGCAGAGAAGGTGAGAGGAAAAATAGAAGTTATTTAGTCCTTTCTATATGTGTACCTTTTATACTTTATATACCTTTTTGTATATATGGTTAACAACTACAGTAACATCGCATGGTTTAGAATAGGGCCAACTCTTTGCAAACCCATGAACTGTAGCCCGCCAGGCTCCTCTGTCCATGGGATTCTACAGGCAGACTATTGGAATGGGTTGCCCTGCACTCCTCTAGGGCTCCAGGGGATCTTCCAGACCCGGGGATCGAGCCCCTGTCTCTCACGTCTCCTGCAAGTTCTTTACCACTGGCATCACCTGGGAAGCCCGGAATAGGGTCTGGTACCTTATAAATAGCAGGGTATGCCTGCTGATGGGTCCTCTCCCCTCTCACATTTGCGTCACTGAAGGACAGCGAGGCTACAGGTCCCAGTGCAGAGCTGGGATGCAGATTGCGTCTGGCTCAGAGCCTGTACCCTTTCCTCTGATACCTGGTTCTCAGGGGCTCTGGGTTCAGATGGCAGCTTAGCTACTTAGGCTTTACTAACTGCCTTCACCTGTCTTTCCCATCCAGCAGGGCGTGACGATAGCCCTTCCCCAGGTGCAGGTGGTGAGAGGTATGTGGCTTGCTCACAGATATCAACAGCGGTCACTCCCTGGGAGGGAAGCTGGGCCCGAGAGACTGGGCTCTTTGTGATGTGGCCATTAGTAGCTGTGGGGTTTGCTTCGTGCCCCACAGTGGGGAAGTTGTGGAGTTGAGGTTCTATCCCAGTTTGTCTGATTTCTGAAGACTGCTCTCTGGTGAGTCTGGTGGTGAATTGAGGACAGGTGGGCGGAGAAGATGAATGTGTGTCTCCTGGGTCACTGGCGTTGGTCAGCACTCTGTTGCATCAATGTGTTGTGTTGGTAAAAGACTCATGAACTCGGATTTGATAGATTCAGACCTCACGACAGTTTATACCTGTGTTGAATTTGACTTTGGCCATGTCCTTGTCTTGGATGTCCAAGTGGCAGGGCCCTGGTTAAAGTTTTTCCACTTCCTTCTGAGGGTCGACTCACTTTCCTGCTTTGTTCTCTTTTCCCCCAAGCAGCTTCTGTCTCTACAGAGGCTAGGTATTAGGGAAGGGAAATTATGTCATGCAGTTTCAATTTCCGAGCAAGGCCTGGAAGTCTTAGTCCTGTTTTTCCAATTCACCCTGCTCTTCACTGGCTGTGTGAGGAGCCTGGGCTGCGTGCTGTGATGGTGTTGCAGGTCACGAGGTCACAGCCCAGCTCTTTGCATCCCCCTCCATCCAGATGATGCCTTTCTTCCTGTGACTGAAACGTCCACTTGGGTGCAGTTCTGTTTCTGAGAGTCTTGGAAATAAAAAAATTTTTATTTCACCTCTGCATCTTTTCTGTTTGATTTATAGGTGGTTTTTATATATTTTTTATTTTTATTTATTTTTTAATTTATTTTTATTAGTTGGAGGCTAATTACAGTATCGTAATGGTTTTTGCCATACATCGACATGAATCAGCCATGGATTTACATGTGTTCCCCATCCTGAACCCCCCTCATAGGTGGTTTTTAATAAATGCTGAATGAAGGAATGTTTAATACTTGCCACAAAATAACTTCTGTTAGTAGATCCAAACAAGGCAGAATATCAAGTATAGCTTTTCAGCAACATTAGCGCTTAAAAATACCTCATCTTGGTACAGCACAGGGGAAATATTTAGTAGAAGGCACTCAGAATTCTTCTTGACTACGATGCAGCGGAAGAAAGGCCTGGTGGGAGGGCGGTGAGATGTCAGGCAGGCCAGCCCTGATGAGCCAGGAGCCTCCTCCCCAGCTCAGTGGAGCTTTTAGCACCAGGTCTGCTGATAATCTACTGATCTGGCTTGTCCCCTCCCCACCACTATTTGAAAATAAGCCCAGAAAGATAACCGTCTAACGGGTGTTTCTCCAGACAGATGGTCAGACCGTAGGAGTCAGTCTGGCTTCCCCCAAAGCCAGCCTGGGGCTGTGACGCTGAGAGCCAGACCCCCAGTCCCCCTGAGTGCGTTGTCATAAGCTCCTGGTCTTCCTGGGCCCTGCAGAGCGGCTCTGCTTCTAGAGCTGCTTTGCCAGAGTTGGTTCTTGGCTCTTGTTTGATTTGGTGTGTTTATGCTGGAGGGCAGAACTTGGGATGGAGGTGTTTTACAACTTTAATTCTAGGAAAGCGAAGAAAAGTTTTGGAGGAGTTGATTCACTGAAATATGTGTGGAGATAATTTTCAGGGTTAACGTTTGTGGGAAGGTGTAGACAGGAAGGAAGTCTGCCTCACGACCCTCTGAAGACCCCCATTTTGTGAATAAAGGTGTCTTTTAAGCATCAGGACAACTCAGTACAAATGAGATAGATTGGACTCTGAGGTCTTGGGGCTGTTTACTCAAAAAACCTGTTTTTTAGTGTCTGGAATTCCAGACGTTGTCCTGAGACTTCCCTAGGTGCTAAGCAGGATGGACATGGTTCATGTTCTTGTATGATACCGGTTTTGTTGGGGTGCAGAGAGCACCAGACAGCCGATCTCTGCTGTGGGGAGAGAGTATGCAGACAGCTTGGGGAGTCAGTGCTTGCAGGGCCAGGACCAGCGTGGTCGGCACAGGCCTCCCAGGGGTTGCAGTGCCCACGTGGACCCCGGAGGCTGAGAGTGTGTGGCCCGGCACACAAGTGTTCAAGGAGAGAAAATGTCACATGCAAAGGCCCAGGCAAGAGAGCTTGGTCTTTGCGGATGTGTGAGTGTAGTTTACTTAGAGCAGTGATTGCAGGTGTTTATAGGTGAAGTGTTCGTAGATGAGGCTGGAGGGTAGTCAGCAGCTTGATTGTGAAGGAGGGTGCGGAACCCAGGTAAGGAGCCGGACCTTTATCCTGAGGGCCATGGGGAAGGACTCCAGGGTGGATTTTTGTTAATTCCTGTAATTACCATTCAGGGTAGATGGTAGTGGGTGAGACCCTGCTGGAAGCAGTGGTTACCTAGCCTCTCCAGCCCTCTGCCCCACTCCACATCACCCCGCTCTGTAACTGTCTTCCCTCGTGGACTTTCTGCAGGTTGCCTCCCAGACGCCGCGTTCCGTGTGGAGCCGCGTCATCCGCGGCTTCAGCTTTAGGTGATTTTTGGTTTTCTGGTGTGGGGTGTGTGACTGCGCCTGGTCGGCACTGTGTGGAGGACGGGAGAATGCCTTCCCAGAGGGGCCTGTGCGAGGGTGGGAGGGGCTGGCTGTAGCAGGGGTGGGCAGCAGGGAAGGGAATGCACAGAGGTGGAGCTGCATGGTGCGGAGACTGCACCCTTCAGAGCTGTGAGCAGGCTTCGTGGGAAATGGGGCATTCAGATTGTTAACATTTGTTATACATTTTTAATGTCCCCAGATCTGAGCCTAGGAGATAACAGAACTCCTGAGTCCCAAGTGATAATCTGAAACTGTTGATTTCATGTATTGACTCATGGGGGAAAAATCCTTATAGAACACCCGTCACAAAAACTCAATACAGTTGGCATCTATCTGGCTGTGCAGAGCAGTCAGTGGAGCCAGGCTATGCTGTCGAGCTGCTCTGGTTGTCAGGCACGAACAGGGCATTTAAGAAGCTGCTCCATGTTTGGCTCCACCAGGGGGTGTGGGCATCAGAGGGGTTGGAAATGTCACCAAGGTGTGTGAGCACCAGTCCCACCTGTGTGGCATAGTCGTAGCATCCCAGAGGGAAGGAAGCATTCATGATGAGGTCATGCAAGACCCAGGGTGGTTAGATCGGATCCTTTTGAAAGACGTATCACTGCATTTGAAGTGCTGAGGCAAAATCTTGACAAATAAGGTCCCCAAAGACTCTCAATGATTGCCAGCTCCAGGGCGGCTCTTCTGTAAATGCCTGGCAGTTCTTCTGTGTGGTCAGGACCCTGCGTTTAGTTCAGTGGGTCCTCTGTGTGCATATTACTTGCTGTCTGAGGCTTCAGTCTCATGCTCATAGCTCTGTGAAGAGTGCGTCTTTATGTTTCCAGTCTTACATTGTGATTCAGGCATTTGGGTGAAGGAAATAGTCGTAATCATAATAGCTGCCATTTATGTGTCAGTCATGTGTCAGATTATTATTTAGTTTTTTATAATAGCTCAGTAAGGTAACACTTACTGTTCCCATTTTATAGAGAAGCTGGACTTGGAGACGTTAAGAAACTTGCCCAAGATTTCATTTGGTGGTCATCAAGTTTTCAGGTTCCTTTACCGTAAGTCTTTGCCCTGATGGTCCTGCTGTGGGTCTTGCTTTCTTAGTGAGATTCGCAGGTCGTTCCCTCTGCACCGCTCCTCTTTTCCGCGCTGTCAGCCGCACGTTGACCGCGGTGCCTGTTTTCGGCGTGTCTGTGTCACCTGTGCTGACCTGCATCACCGCTGTTTCTGCAGAGCTCTGCCGGTGGGTCACAGTCCGGGGTTCCCGGCTCAGACTGAGCAGAGAGATGGTTTCCCCAAATACTGGGAAAACTAGGGAAATGGGTCCGTTCCTGTCTCTTTCCCTGTGGTTTTTATAGACTTTGGTCTACTCCTGATGAATTCTGAAATCAGAATACACCGACTCCTCAGCATTTCTTCTTTGACTGTCTATTAGAAAGGATCGATGTCTCTTAAAAGAGCATTTGCAGAAAGGTGGATGAACTTGGGAGGAATTATGCTAAATGAAATAAGTCAAAGAAAGGGAAGTGCTGTGTGTTATTACTTATACGTGAAACCTAAAAATACAACAAACTAGTGAATATAGCAACAAAAAAATCAGACTTACAGAGAACAAACTAGTGGTTACCGCTGGAGAGAGGGTATTAGAGAGGGATAGTAGAGGGGTGGGGGTGTAAGAGGCACAAACTATTAGGTATAAAGTAAGTTGCAAAGTGAGCAATATAGCCAGTGTTTTATAATAACTATAAATGGAGCATAACCTTTAAAAATTGTGAATCGCTGTATTGTACCTGTAACTTAGGTAATATTGTACAGCAACTATACTTCAGTTTTTAAACAGTTCTATTTTTTGACCATGTGACATGTGGGCTCTTTGTTCCCCGACCAGGGATTGAACCTGCCCTCCCTGCTTGGCAAGCGCGAGTCTTAACTGCTGGACAACCAGGGAGGTCCCTATACTTCAGTTCTAAAGAAAAGATCTCAGTAAAAATTCCAATTGAAAACACGGCCAAAAGGTTTGAGCGGGTATGTCGTCCATTTCACTGCCATGTAAGTGCCGTGCGCTGACCTGTTGTGCAGCTGGAGCTCCTCTTTCGCTCATTTCATACGGGTGAGAGTAAGCACACAGAAGGATGCGCAGCGTCATTAACCATTGGGGAGGGGCAGACGGCAACTGCATTGAAGTACCTTTGCAACGCAGTCAGAATGGTTAACATTAACACTAGACAGCACGAGGTGACAGTGTCCAGTGACAAAGATGTGAAACAGAGCTCTCTTGCTTTGCTGGTGGGAATACAAAGTATAACCGCTTCGGAAAACAATCTGGCAGTTTCTTGTAAAGTTGAATATATACTTATCATACAATCCAGTAATCCTCTTTTGAGGTATTTATCCAGAGAGATGAAAATTTATGTCCGTGTGCATGAATGTTTATAGCACCTTTATTCATAATCATTTAAAATGGAAAACAACTCGGATGCCCATCAGCTGGAAAACGGATGAGCAGATTGGGGTCCACCCCTGCAGTGGAATCCTATTCAGCAGCAGCAACAGGAAGGAGTCAGCTACCGACATAGGCAGCAAAGTGGTGCGTCTCCAAAGCATTCTGCCTGTCGAGAACATGAAGCGCTCGTGTTGCTGGGCTTCCATTGATGTGACACCCTGGTAAAGGCAGAGCTCTGAGAGCAGAGGTGAGCCGAGTGGCTGCCCGGGCTGCTGGACAGAGACCTGTGTTCTGGGGACACGAGGACCCTCCTTGGGGTGACGGAAAGCAGCCGTTCCTCCGTGTGGCAGTGGCCACGCCACAGAGGACACTCATCAGAGCTCCTGGGCGGGAGGTCTTCCTGTATGGAAGTTGTACCCCAGGCTTCAAAGATAGGTGCCTTCTGTATGTGTGCACACAGATACTGCACACACTTGAGCTCAGGTTTTCTTTCAGGCTGGATTGAACTTTATTTTTCTGGACGAGGTATCCTTGGAGTTTAAGTGAAGTAGATTTTAGCCATAGACACAGCTTCTGAAAACATGTAACCTTGAAGTCCTTGGCTGATTTTTGTATGCTTATTTATTCATGATCTCTAAAGCCTTTATAATGTAATCTATCTTCATATAACATGATTGTATATTACAGATGTTGTGTAATTAGCATAAGTAAAAGATGTTTTAAAAGTTAAATTATTTTAGGGGATTTCAGGTTCTTGTAGCTCTGGAGAAAAATAGTTTTACCAGTGTTTACAGTTAATAAATAATGTTTTCTCTGGTTAATGAGACAAATTTAATTATGTAGTCTTCAGCTGTTTTGTTTAGTCAGCTGTAATTGTAGTATACAGGTATATTTTACACTGCTAGAAATACCAAGAACGCACACAGAAAATGATACACATTGGCTTCACTGAACTTAAGACTTAATTGCAATTGTAAGTACAGTTTTTTAGAAGCATGCAGGAGAGTTGCTTGTTATTGCTCTGTGGTGCTTTTTGATGTCCTCCAGAGCAGTTATTTAGCATTTTTTCCCAGTAGGCCCTTGTTTATGTATAGAGTGGGGAGGGAAATTAACGTGGAAGGTTGTGTATGAGGGTTCTAATTTTTATTTAGAAATCAGAATTTGTTTGGCTTTAGAGAGTAAGAAGTCTGCCGCTTTAAATGACGGCTCAATGATTTCATGATGGGAGGACGCCCCTCTCTGTGGCCACAGCAGGGTCGGTGGGTCAGCGAGGCTGGCGCCCACCCCTTTATTGCACGTGCCCTCTGTGTGCGGCCCTCCTTACTCTCCCCTGGGCACGCAGAGCTTCCTACCGTGTGTGTGTCCAGCCCAGCTCGCTGCAGCTCCTGCCTGCCACCCTCTGTGCGGTGAACACACGGCCAAGATCCGCTAGTGGCCTCTTGGCAGCGTATTGAGGAACAGAAGAGAGGGTGAAGTTGTCCTGCTTATGTTCTGCTGTCTGGCTCCATCTCTTTTTTTTCCCGTTGGACCCTGCATTAACAATCCTGGTGCAGAGGCTGAGGAGAAGGCTGGGGTGCGTCCTTCAGTTGACAGCATTTCCAGGTGCTGCGGGGGTCCTGTTGCATGAACTCAGGGGAACGGTTCTCGGGGTATTTGCTTTGATTTGGCTCGTGTTGTTGCTGCACACGTGTGGAGTGTACCATGCAGTGTCTCCTGAGAGGTTTTGGTACAAGTTGCTTAAAGTTATTGTATATGCAGAATAGGAAAAAAGAAGTGGATTATACACTTAAAAAATATGTAACCGTATTTATTTTCCTATATATTTTAAAGGATACTTACCAGGTCTTCTTAAACAAAATGTACTGAAAGATAGCAAACTCAC